GAAAACCCCCAGGGCCAAGCAAGCCCCTGCACTGAGGTGCAGCTGAAGAGGCTCTTTTTTGGGAGCTAGACTTAATGATCCTTATGGGATCATTCCAGCTAAAGATATTTTATGATTCTCACGCTGCCCTCAGCAAGGAGAAGAACCCACAGGCCAGCCTCAAGACCAGGAGTGACACAACGCTGGCCTGCTGCTCATCCAGCAGCACATGCCAGGGGACATCAGGCAGGAGCCCTGGAAGGGTGGAGGTTATCTAAACAGCTCCAAAGCTCTGGAATAGTCCTACACATTGACTGCTATTTATAGAGCACATGCAAGATAAAGAATTTTGGTTTAGAAGACAAAAGGCTCAAGTTTGTAACTTCACCAAAACTGGATATAATTAAACCCTGTTTTTTCAATTTTCACTTCAAAATGAACGTCTCTGTGATGCAGAGAACACTGAAAGTGGGAAGATACTTTTTATTTAACCTCAAAATCTATTTTTACTCCTGAATCCTAATGCTCCCCAGCTGGGGCTTTCTCTTCCTCCTGGCATGGGTGGGAGCAATGGAAAGCTGTAGAGGAAAAAAAAAAAAAAAAGAAAGAAAAAAAGAAAAAAAAAGCATCACAAAAACAAAAACAAAAACAAAAACAAAAACAAAAACAAAAACACGCAAAATGAATGGGGAAGAGCAACCAGGGCCTCTCACATGAGCTACAGAAAATAAGGAGGGAGATGTAGAATATGCCACAGATTCACTACACCCTGAAAACCAGATGAAAGCAACTCCTCATCCTGAAAAGGTCGGAGGAGAAAAATAAAACTTACCGACCCACAAAGGACACCAATTTTAATCACATACTCAAGACTTTACCCCAGAGCCACACAAAAACTCCAATTCAACAACATAATCACTTATCACAGTACCAGAGAACTCCAAAATCTTACTTCATTTTTGTCATGCTATTTTTCTCCTCCTTTGCTTTCCATCCTGTGCACTCTCACTCCTGGCTGGACTGTGAAGAGCAGCACTTTTCAGAGGACTCCAGTTTCCAAAGCTGAGCAAGTGACCAAAGGTGCAAGGACAAGCAGTGACGCAGTGGGTGCAGAGGATAAATGGCTCCTCACCCGGGGCCAGCTACAACCAAAAGCTGAGCACTGCTAGGTGCTGAGCATCTATCTGCAAAGCTCTGCCAGCTGGGAGACAGGGAGGCAGCCTGTTAGCTTCATGAGGTCCTCCTGCTCCACAGGGCTGAGGTGGAGTCTGCAGGAGGCAGGTGCACTTTGGCCAGCTTCCTCTGGCAAAGCGTGTCTGCAATGGACCAATCTCCTCGAGCAACCCTCTCCAAGTGAAAAGGGGTGAGGAGAAGGCCCAGATTTCCCTCCCCATAGTCTCTGAAATCCCGATACTTGATAGCAGCATTTTGAATGAGACCTGCAAAGGAAACTGTCCTGCTCTGATGTCAAACGCATTGTTGTACTATGATATCCCTTATTACAGCTTTAACCTCAAAGGATGATACACACTGTAAAATCCATGAGTTTAAAATATGCTTCTACCCTAAATCACTAGACTGTGGAATAACTGATATAAAGGAGAAGAAAAAAAAAAAGTGAATGAAGTTCTGTTTGTGGGATCTTGGAGCCAACAGAATAATTTTGGCCAGCTACAGTTAACAGCTTACTCTTCTGTGATGGGTGAGCCGTGCTCTGGTCAGTGTGAAGGAGAAGGAGCAAGGCCCCAGCTGAGCAGTTCGATGCCTTTTCTCCACATCAGGCTCAGAGGAATGCTAGCACAGACTGGTCAGCACCTGCAGTTATCCACATATTTGTATTTTATACATACAAAGAGATTGTAAAGTACTTCCTCTCTGGTGCGGAAAGGAAACAACTCAAAATATTAGGTAACAACATCTTTCTCACCCATGTACTGCTATTTCAACTGTATCAATTGCAGTCAAAAGAAAACCTGATGTTTCATTCTGTAATGGACCCATCAAACTGTCAGCAAACACTCAGATTTTCATTTCTTCTTCCTTCCAGTGCCATTTGATCTCCCTCAGTCTCTAGATCACCAGATCTACCAAGGAACACAACTGCCAAGTACAGAGAGGTCAGATTTCATAGAAGCAGGAGTAAGTAACCTGCAAAGCTAAGCAAAACATGCACTATACAGACAGGTCATATAAAGGCCATTTCAAATTTTTTGAACACTCTAATAATCTGATGCTTTACACACATATAATTATATGCCTCAAGTCTGCTATAATTCCTTATTAGGTTTGCAGCTGTTGTCTTCCTCATGAATTTATCAGCTTGCATAGTTCTTGGGTAGCTGTTCTTAATTCATCTCTACCAGGCAAGGGGTGGGAGAGCCACAAAGAAGCAAAGACAATAAATAAAAGCTACATAACTCACTTTTTAGAATTGGAGAAAGAAAAAAAAAAAAAAAAAAAAAAAGTCTGTTCAACAGAGACTTGAGGAAAAGCTATTGCTGTTTTAAGAAAGTGTAGGAGGCTATAAAGGTACTGTCCAGGCCTGAACTCTTTTCACCGAAACCTGTCTTGTGTAAGTAGATACACTCTCATTCTCTGTCTGAGTTAGCCAGTCAAATAAAACAGAGGAACGTTACTGAAGGTGGGAACTGGGCCTTCTAGGAGCTAGACCAGTTGCAGGAGAATAAAATCCCACTCTAAAGCCATTGCCACCCAGCAAAAGCATGTCCTTGTCAGCCAGTTGGGTGGGTGTGTCTGTTCAAGTTCAGTCACGAGCACTGTCCTAAGAAAAAGCAAAGGATGCAGCACTAATGCTCCCTGCATTGCAGCTCCTACTAAAAATGACACACTTTGGGTTGGCAAGAGGTAAAAGATTCTTCTGGTTATTTTGGGAACAGAATAATGTGACATTACCTACCACAACCCTTTCCTTTGCTCTGACCAGTTACACTGAGCAACTCCTCCTAACTTTTTTGAATGCCTACTGGACACAGTGCTGATGAAGACATGTTTTTTTTATAACATTGCATTTTTCTATATAATAGTATGCAAAACCTTTCCTGAAACTTTCTTCATTAATTATCTGTCTAGAAAATGAAAAGTCGGTGTTAAAAACTGCCAGATCCTTAATATGATTGACTATGTCTGGTTTTAGTCAGCAAAAGGTCTCCAAGTAACAAATGGCTTGTCCATTTATTCTCTGACAAGATGGAATGTCGGGGCTTGAATATCATTTACACTCAATCAAATACAAATGCTGATTGAAAACTCTGGGTTTTGGTGACTCTTGATGTGCCCCAGTGGGGCATGGAGAAATGTATCACCACTTTAACATGTATATTGCATAAGGGACCTGAGAGGCTCTCCTGCTCCTTGCTGCAGCTGGCTTTTCATCTTGCCAGGCCTGTAGCTCTAAGATACGCATTAATTGAAATGACAAACTGCATAAACATGTTTCTCAGTTGGCATTTCTCTGCTAAATGCTCATGAGACTGTTAACTATGGAAAACAAAAGTTGGATATAAGTAAGATCACTCTTACAAAATGCTTTTTTTTTTAATAGAAAGAAAACAAGGAAAAGCTTGCTGTATGCAGACTCATAGATACCCCATATTTTACAGCTGGGGAATTGCAATAGTTTTTCCCCAGTAATGGGTCTTTATGTTACACAGAGGTATCTTTATGATATCTTTCAGATACAGAAAGATTTGCACTTTGTTACTGATAAGAGAGTCCAAATTAAAGTAGTGATTTGAAGTGGTAGAAATTTGCCTTGGGATACAGTGAATACAGAACAACTCCTGCTCACCATATAGGTGGTGTTTACAAGATTATAAAATGCATTTCAAACAAATATTTTACAATATAATAGAATTCTTGATTATAGCATAAAAAGCCATTCGATTTGATTTCTTTTTTTTTTTTTTTTTTATGTACACACTGGTCAAAATAAGATGGACTGTAGAATAATGAACAGATAATTATTTTCCCAAGAAAGTTTGAAGCAGATGATCATTGAGGTCCCTTTCTAAGCTAGTATTCTATGATTATTACACTGCAGTGTAGTAAACATCAATATATTGTAGCTATGTTTTTCCTCTAAACCATTTTGTAGAATAAATACAGCTGTAACAAAGGAAGCTCATAAAATAGCAACAATGGAGCTTTTTTGGGGAGGAAAAAAAAATAATAGCCATAAAGAAGTTCTAATATTAATTTATAATTACTAACAAATACTTCAATTATACCATGCTTTGCCATCGTTGGCCTCCAGCTTTGGACCTCATCCAGTTTCCTGTAGACTAGAGGAAATCTAGCTCAAAACTTTGCTTATGCCTTTTTCTAAATGGCATAATACAAACCACCCATTAAAGTGACATTCTCCATTGCAGCACTAAATAACACAATGGAAGTAATTTTCCTGAAGAAGAGAAGCAACTCCCCTTTTTGTTTACTTAAAATTGCAAGTTATTCCTCAGTGGCACACCCAGGCTTTAAAATAAGGAGCAGAAATTGATTATTTTATTACTTCCACATTTCCTCTTGGATATTCCTCTGAGAATCATAAAGCATCTCATCTGCACATATAGTTCCCAGGATAGAACGAGTCCGTATAGAGAGGAATCCCAGCACCTACAAAGACAACTGCTAAAAATGGCAACGTGAGCTTTTACCCTAGAGCATGACATACCCTTAAGGCCTTGGTCTTGCAAACATTTAGCATGTGAGTAGTCCTACTAAAGCAAGACTCGTTCATAGGATTTTTCACTGGTGGCATTTTATTTATATATATTGTTAGGCAACATATTATGAAAGTCGGAGGGAGGAAAAGGAATGGGTAGCACGAGGTGAGCTAACTGCCACTGTCCACGTACGGCCTTCGGCACGGCACTGCAACACAGAGACACCTCCGTGAAGGCAGCGGCTAAGCCAAACCAGAAGTTTGTGTTATAAAGAGAAATTGCTCAAGGTTTTTACCCTTATTGTAATACCCAATATTCCCAAGGGAACATCTTTCCTCTCTAGTGCAATATCCTGCAGATGTGACTAAACCTAAAAATAAGTTCTAAGAAAAGGTTCCAGCATTTAGCACAATGAGTGTACTGCCTTTCTAACCCTTCCTTCATTCACTGCCAAATGATGATGTAAAGAATTGCGTAAGAGAAGAAAACAAAACAAAAAGATAAAAATTAACTTAATTTACACAACCAATGAAGAAGTTTAAAGCAACAACAGAAAAATAATATAAAGGCTAGATACACTAAATGCCAGTTCAACAGAATTAAGCTTTGGTAGAAGAGTTAAAGAGCATAGCACCAATAAAATCCAACATCAATACATGCTTCAGTATGCATGAGCTGTGATGAAGATGTAAATTTTGGCAAGGAAAGTAGTGTAAGTTCCCTGACGCCACAGTTTCATTTCAACATCTAACAAAAAGTCTTTAGGCTCTTTCACTTGTCGCTGAAGATAGACAATGCCCGTGTATGAGTTCAGCCTTCGAGTGCTGAAGTAGTTTTCTTCATTTCCCTTGTTGATAGTAAGGATGATGTTGTCTCCAGCATAGGCAGGCGATGGGCCAATACGGAAAATATGAGCTGGGACCACAATATTGGTTTGGAAGTTCAGTTGGTAATAGGTAATGCGCACTGGGGTGTTCTGGCAGTCCAGGTAATTAAAACAACTGATTCGTTCACACCTCCTAAAAGATGAAAAATGAACCACAATCAGTGTCCATGTAATTGCAGGTAAAAAATCATGTATTTCAGTGTAATAAAAAAGTATTCGATCAACAGGAGCCTCAAACTCCAGCTGTGTAATTACCAGCTGCTTGCTCTGCTTTTACAGCGCCTGTAAAGCATTTGTAAATGATGTAATTGCCAGAGTACAACAGTGTAAGAAAAAGATCGTGGACATGGGGAACTGTGTTTGGAAGCTCTACAACAAGGAAAGAGCCAGAGCCATGCTGAAAGCAGAACAGAGCTTAGAAGAGGAGCCTGTGATTCACCAGATTTCTAACTAAAAGGAGGTTGTAGTGAGGTGGTGGTTGGTCTCTTCTCCCAAGTAGCAAGTAGCAGAACAAGAAGAAACGGCCTCAAGTTGTGCCAGGGGAGATTTAGGCAGGATATTAGGGAAAACATCTTCCTTGAAAGTGTTGTCAAGCCCTGGAACAGGCTGCCCAGAGCAGTGGTGGAGTCTCAATCTCTTGAGGGGTTTAAAACATGTGTGGATGTGGTGCTTAATGACATAGTTTAGTGGTGGACTTGGCTGTGCTTGGTTGGATGTGATGATCTTAAAGGTCTTTTCCAGCCTAACCAATTCTACGATTCTGCTACTGACAGCAGAAGCCTGGGACAGTGCTCCAAGAAAATAAGAACAAAAACACTTCAACATGGGATTGGGAAAGAAACTCCTCAATTTGCAAAGCTGCTCAGTTCCATAAAGCAGGAAAAGAGCTTTTTAAGCCATAAGCAACTATAGGTGGCTTCCTAAAGCACTGACAGCCATTGAGGCAGGAAATGGGTAGAGAGACTTTGAGGCTCCCAAGCCTCAGCTGCTGAGGAGCTGGGAGGGTCTGCCATTCCCAGAACCCTGTAGCCTGGCAAGTGCAATATCCTGCTCCCCTTCAATGTTTCAACACTCTCTGAGGAACTGCAACCTGAATATTAAACAGGGAGCCCCCAAAACACTGTAAAGGTGGTGCACTGAGCAGCCTGGCAGCTGCTGCAATGATACAAGCAGCACAGAATTTCTTATTTTTGTAAAACTTATAATAAACAGGGCCCTTTTAGAGATGCAGCAAGTACAGAAGCAAGCTCTGGTGACTGATGTTACAGCAGCAGTTGGAGGGCAAATGGGAGCTCTAGAGTTTGGAAGAAGGAAGAGGCAAAAACAGACAGAAACTCTACAAGTGGAAAGTCTACAAGCTCCAGGTACCATACAATCTTCCCAGAGCTCTGACCACCAGCATCCACCCACAAACAAAAGCATGATGTAACATCCATTAGGAAAAACTTCTTTGGTGTGAGGCTGCCTGATCCCTGGCCCAGGTTGCCCAGAGAGGTTGTGGAGTCTCTTTCTCTGGAGAGATTCCAAACCCACCGTGGCATGATCCTGAGCGACCTTCTGGATCAGGGGGGTTGGATGAGATGAACTCCAGAGGTCCCTTCCAACCCCCACCATGCTGTGACTGTATTTCTGGGCTGCTCACTTGGTTGTGATGGCAATACTTACATGTCAGATACTTTTCTGTAGTTGGATGGGCACTCGAAGGACAGGCAGCGGAAGCTGCCCTGGATGTTATAGCAAGTCTCTGCAGCCGAACAGTTATGGGTTCCTATTGCACATTCGTCAATATCTAACAAGAAGAAACAACAGGAAAAAGACATGCTTAGTTCAAAAATGAGAAGCAGTCATGGTTTCTGGGCTGTATGATGCTTATGAGGCTATGTGTGTGGGGGAAGGAAGAGGAGCCTGTGGGTTTGGCTCTGCAAGCTGAGGGCTCTTGTCATCACTGCTCAGCAGGTGTCCGCCACTTCTTCAGCACCTGTACCTGCTGCCTGTAGACTAAGACCACGAGAACCCCAGAGGGAAGATCTGGGGCGTGAAACATACATTCAGGTGAGGTGTGTCGGGTTCATCTCTGCACACACACACGTTGGCATTTGGTATGGCAGGGTAGGTCACGGTGATTCCAGTTCTGCTAATATTTGTATGTCTTCCGTGGAAAAAAAATTTCCTCCCTTGACACCATCAGTTAGTAAATGATGGCAGTATCACTCGGCAGTGTGTGTAACAGAAAAGGGAGCCCACTCTTCCCTACTATCAGCTTGTGATCCTTTTCATGCTGTTTGATAGTCCTTCCCCTGCTTGGCAGTGAGTGTGGCCAGTTGCAGCCACCCAGCACTTGGCCAGGACTGGTCTTTATTGCAGGGCAGGTTTATTTCTTTACCTGTACTTTGCAAGCATGGGCACGCTCCTGTGAACCCAGCTGGAATTCTCATTCCAAACACATCTGATGCAATACAGGGCTTAACTTCCAGTAGAGAATAAACACAAGAAGGAAAAAAATGTTCTCAACACGCAAGATCCTCCTGTCTTGCCACTTCCCACTGCAATAAAATCCAACCACGAACATCTAGACAGAATCACCTGTGTTCTCACATTCTCCTTTGTCCCTGAGGTGTCACAGATATGTTGTAAATAATATAAACTAGACTGAAAGGAAACAGACTAAAGTAGCTAGATAAAATCACTAGGTAGCGGTAGTCTAAGTCAGTGGAACCCTAAACTTCTCAGATCAGCCAATGGGTCCATCCCCGTGGCTGCTGAATAAGCTTTCCACAGCTGTTCTGATTGAAGATAATTTCAAAACAGGTTCCTGAAAATGATGGGTCAATTTTCACAGCTTCACAGGTCACTGGTACTCCCTGAACCACAGTTTGATGCTTAGAGCTGGCCCACACCGTGCAAGGTGTTTCTAAACAAGCGTGGTGCTCATACGCTGTCCAGCACATGAGCACACATGGCAAGCTCTATAGCTGACCAAGGATGGTTGAGCTATTGAGCTCAACCACCTAACTTGTTTCAGACAGCAGAGCATATGCATGGACTTGTGCATGGTGAAGACACTGTGTGCAAGCCCTGGAGCAGGAGGAACAGTCCATGATGAAAGGCAGCCACTGCTCTAAATCGCTCACACTCTGACAGCGTGTGTGATCACAGCGGCTCTCTCTTCACAGACAGGGCTGTAACATGTCCACTTATCTCACACAAACAAATATTCCCCCAACACCCAGCCTGCAGAGGGGTCTTTCCCCTTCCCAGAGCAAATGGATGTAATGGTGTTGTGGTTTGAGGCTTGGA